ATATCAAGCCAGACAACTTCCTTATGGGCATCGGAAAGCGTGGTAACCAAGTCAACGTCATCGATTTCGGTCTGGCCAAGAAGTACCGTGACCCAAAGACTCACTTCCACATCCCTTACCGTGAGAACAAGAACTTGACTGGTACTGCCCGTTATGCCAGTATCAACACCCACTTGGGTGTCGAACAATCCCGCCGTGACGACATGGAATCCCTCGGATACGTCATGCTCTACTTCTGCCGTGGATCTTTGCCGTGGCAGGGACTAAAGGCCGCTACCAAGAAGCAAAAGTACGACCGTATCATGGAAAAGAAGATGACCACTCCAACCGAGGTTCTCTGCCGTGGATTCCCCAACGAGTTTGCCGTCTACCTAAACTACACCCGTTCTCTTCGCTTTGACGACAAGCCAGACTACTCCTACCTCCGCAAGATCTTCCGTGATCTCTTTGTCCGCGAGTCGTTCCAATACGACTACGTATTCGACTGGACCGTCTACAAGTACCAGAAGAACGCCCAGGCTATTGCTCAGGCCACTGGAAACGCTGGTAACGGCCAGGAAGAGGATGAACGCCCACGCCGCATTGCCAACGCTAACGTTGCTTCTGGAAACCCGGCCATCCAAAACAAGCCCACCGTTATGGCCCCTCGCCGCAAGGTGATGGACCGTGGAGCTTACGAAAACCCAGATGCGAACCGTGCAATTGGCGGAAGCGATAGGATGTGAGTATCTGCAACCGTTGGTTCCGAGTAAGGAACAGACCCTCCCCTTTCTGCCAGTGAGCTCGTGCTTTGAAGTGGTCCGTTTGACGAAGACGCTTGGGCTGGCCTGCACGGAGAGGGACAATCTCTTTTCCTTCTTGTGTTTTCCATCGAAAATCTGACTAATGTTATAGTTTTCGGCGCTAGGCTTCGTTCCGCTTCTAAAGGTGGTTCTAACCTTATGGGTATCGGTGGTTATCATTCATCCCCTTACCACCGTTCATCGAAGCGGGATGATGGTAACAACGGCACTCAGTGGTAATCATCTAATAAGCAACACAGTTTTTTCTTCTTTTAATGATTTGAGTGGGATATTCTTTCCGCAAGAGGGGGGGCATGTTGGGAAGAATAACTTTTCCACACATACTGCACCCCCCAATGTCCTCTCATGTCTACCATTTTCATATCCTGAACTTTGGGAAAAGATCATTTTTATCTACCCTATCGTTCAGATCTGTCTGTTCTACAACTCTCCTCCCTTGTCATGACTGTTTATGCTTCGATCACATCAATTTTCTCTCCTATCATCTTGTCTGCTTCCTGGCCTGCATCTCGAATCCACCATTTCAACTGACCGGCACCGACATCAACACCGGCCCTTTTTTTACTATCCTTCCTCCTCTCGTGGATTATTAATACCAACATGGGACCTCGAGATGCAACCAAGCAGCCGTCTTATCTTTCGTGTTCGAGCAGAACTACGTCATATTCATCATCAAGGGGGGCAGAGCTTTTTCAGACAGACATTCTTTTTGGCAGGATATCGTCTTTTAACAGTTTCATTGGGCATGGCTGTTGACGATCCTGCCTCTCCATAATGACCGAGGATTGAATCATCAGATACGGAACCGGGTTTACTCTTTTTTTACACTTCAACAAAAAAAAAAATCAGCAACAACACAACATACCAGGGCAGCATCTTCAGTTAATCGACATCAACCTCGCCAGGGCGCCGTATTGTGTTATTATCCGGCTTCTTCCATCCTCGATCATCCAGGCATTTCTTATCTGTTTTCCCTTTTTTTTTTTCATCCTAGCATCCCCCTTTTCCCCCATGCTTACGTTTTTTCATCATCAAATTGACGTTTCCTTAGCTTGTTCATACCATGCTTTCATTTCCTAATTTTCTTTTGTTTTACTCTGCTCTATTCTAATGAAGGGGACGCGAGGACAGGGGATGGGCAGTGGAGAAGACTGCACGTTGAGAGTTGAGAGGAACACCGGGTATGGGTATGGTCGAGGAGCAGCAAAAAGGCACCGATATTTACAACGTTCGACATCCATTATTTTAAACATTGATCACAATACTACATACAGCCTCCGTCTTCTTCGGGTGGTTGGCTCTTATGTGTATATGTGTGTGTGTATCGGTACCCTTCGAACGCAACTCCACCTTCCCCTCTCTCAACAACAAAGTGGTACACGGCGACGGAATATGGCTAGGGTCGCTTCCGGGGTGGTATCGTGATTTTGTTTCTTGTTCCCCTACGTCACTGATTTTCAATGCATGCTTTTGCTTTCTTGTTTCTTTCTATTGTTTTGCGCCCGATCAATCTCCCCTTAGCACACACACCCAGCACAGCGTTATTCTTTTGAGAGACAAGTATTTTTTTAAGGTCATTTCACATTCAATTCGGAAAGGCAGCTCGAGCAGTGGTGGGCGATGGATCGGATTCGATTTGGCAAAGGAGAGCACGCGTGAGGATGAATTGCTTTGCACAACCGGGGACGAGGGGAGCAAAAATGCTGAATTGACCTGCCCGATTAGAGATGATCTTTCTTTTTTAACTCTGTTTCCATTTTGTCCCTTGTTTTTTCACGTCTCTCTTTTACTTGCACTGCTTCATTTCCATTAACTAATTAAGCCAACTAAATAACCTAACTTGCCCATCAGCAAATCCAAACATCTTACGCTCGCTACCCATACTCGAACCCGAGTCTATCTAAGTATAGAGTAAATTCCGTTGTAGCTAGTTCGTTAGCTAACTAACCAGTCAGTTACGTCAAAGCCGAGGAAGGGGGATCGCTAACAAGGTAGCTAGTTACGTTAGATAAAACGACCAAGAACAGCCAGAACAAGGCATGAAACAAACACCGGGACAAACCCAGCGGGAACCGGGAGTTCTCCATCTTTATCTTATTACTCTTCCATATTCAGCTCACGGGTGATGTAGTCAGTTACCTGATCACCGGCGGACCCTCGCTTCGAAAGCAGTAGTGTGCTCCGTAACCCGCTGTGGATGCACGGCCGGCTGGGTGCTCATCCTCCTGCTGCCCCATAACCATATCTCGACTTCGCCACTGCGAGAAGATTCCGATGATGAAGCCGATGATGAAGCCGGTGGGTGAATCGGACGGACGAGTTCATGCGAGTAAGTAAGGACCCGAGAGAATTAGGTACGGCTATGCATGCACCGTGCTGTAAGCTATTTATGTACTTTTTGTCCCCTCCGCCCGGGAAGCGTTCCGCCAACTGCTATTATTTAGTTGCATCGCAACATTAATGTTAGTTAATAATGTTAATGCTTAAACACCATGGCTAGCTAGCTAGCTAGTTGGTTGATGCTGGCGGTGTTTTAACTACTTCCCCGATGTGCACGAGCGGAAGAATACGAAAGGAGCCCCCTGAGTTAAAATTGTTTTGATGAACGAACTGCACTACGCTGGAGGTAAGTACCACATTAGCCGAACCGAACCTTCAGAGAAATAATGGATTAGAAGCAGGAAAGGAGGCCCAGAAGGCCACCGGTTAGTTAAGCAGGCGGCGGGTAGCAAGGTAGGTTAGTAGGGAAGGGCAGGCAACGAGGTAACAAGCCAGGCTGCCTGGCTGGCCAGTTGGCGTTCGTAGAGCGCCCGTATTCTACTTACCATTTCGTTTAGTTGGTTACCTTTCTCGGCAGCCATTTTGGATAGGCAAGTATAGCTAAAGCAGTTAGGGTACTTAGCTTGTTAGTTGGCTGGGGTCATGGGTATGTATGATTTTTTTTTTTTTGATATCCAGCTTCCCGACGGGGTATGGCCTGGACGGGTAGGAGGAGATGAAGCACCCCTGCCAGGAACTCGAGGGAGTATAAAATAGCATCTCAGGCCGGCAACTAGTTAGACCACCTTAGCTAGGCCCCGGCTTCATTAAAAAACTACCGCATTATTTTGCCGCCTGGAGAAGGGGAAAAAGCCACTCGAGGCTTGGTTTGGGGAGTGGGATGTGCGGTATCTTGGTTGCAGTTGAATATTAACCAGACTCGTAATCAAGCGCCTGGTCAAGGAAGAAGCTATCAAGGAAGAGAGGAAATTGAGCAAGGAGAAAAGGGTGGCCAGGGCTGGAGGAGGCGCTTCTGTCATAGCGGGTGGTCGTCGAAACGGGCGCCCTTGGCGGGACACAAGGGTGTCGTTATATGTGGCGGCTGCAGCAGATGTACGTAACTAGCAGAAGTCACAGGAGGAGGTCTAAACTGTCTGTGTAGCAGGTAACAGGTAGCAGGTACTCCGTAGCAGGTTGGACATGTCCCAAGAGGTTTTAGGTTACTCCGTTGTATACTTGCACGCTACACTGGTCTCCATCGAGCAACTACCAGGCCTGCACTTAAGGTAGATAGATGCCAAAGGGAGGGGTGGGCCATGGATCGTGGGATGCGACGGGATGGAGCCGTTAAATCTGCAGCCAGGGGTGAGGTAGTAAACCACCTGCTTCGTTCGCATGGTCTTTTCGATGTGGTGCAGCAGTTCTGCACGCAGTTTGACGCAAGGTCTGGCCCGGCTTCCCTGGGCTGAAGAAAGCAACAAGGTGAGAAGAAGGATGGTTGGTTGGTTAGAAAAGTAGCTAGTTAGTTAGGCAGATGGGGGGATGGATGGCCTGGGTTTGATACGTTTGGGCTTGGTTTGAATGTTTCTTTTTTAAACCGGCCGCATCATTCGCTCGCTGGCTGTTCGTCCGATAGCCCTCGCTCTTATTATTGTTTAAGTATTGCATCTTTTCGTCCTTTTCCGGCTTTGCTTTTTCCTCAACTTGGCTCGCCGTTGACCAGGACGGGGCAATGGAGAAGGGGGGTCTGCGACGGGGCCGTTAGCTGGTGGCTGCTCGATGGCTTATCTCTGGGTGGCCGCTGAGGGAGGAGGGCTGGGCTGATGAACCAGGGATGCCATGCCTCCTGGTTGTGAGCTGGCTTAGGGCAGCGAGCCAACTGGACAGGAAGACCAGACAAGCCCATGGAAGGTTGACTCTATCGGGGACTATCTCGCACTAGCTATGGATTGTCGTCACCATAAGCGGCAAAGGTGGCTTGCCCGGACACGAGATTTCAGATTCCCCATCTTCCTTTTTTCTCCTGACGGTTCGTAACGAGGTGCAAGTTGGGAAGAAAAAAGCAAGCCCTTTCTTGGTCGAGGAGACTCCAGGTGACTGACTGACAGAGAAGAGAAGAGAAGAGAAGGCCAGAGTGATATTGATAGAAGACGAGGCGGAGGCAGAAGGAAAAAGAAAGGAAAAGAGGGACCCGATATCAAAATCCAAACGATCATCCTGAGCATCATCCTTGACCTTCTGGCTCTCGGTCTCTCTCGTCTCTTCGCACATATCATTCTCTTCATCTCTCGTAATCCCTGTTGTTAACTTCCTGTTCCCCACACCCTTTTTTTGAAATCCACATTAGACCGAGAGCCTTGCATATCAGAACGCAAGTCTGTATATTTATATATATATTTCAAACTCCCCGGGTGTTCGAAGCTGCTGCATCTTGCCTCTTTCCCCTTACTGAGCTGCTGCTTGCTTTATCGTTTTCGAAATCGTCTCTTTCGTCTCTCCGGCCGGAATTGTAGCTCTCGTCGTCCATCATGGAATACCCGTACTTCTCGTCTGCTCCCCAGCAGGCGTATCCATATTACGGCCAGCAGCCACCTCAAGACCCTTCACAGGAGCAGTTTGTATCGTTGGTGCCAGGACCCGTATGCTTCCATTTTTTTTTCCTCCCTGTCCTTTTTGTTCGTCGTCTGTAGTTTTTATATCGCAGCTTTCAAGGTTGTTCTTGCCCCGTGCAAGGGGTAGTTACTGATATGCATAACTAGGATCAGCAACAACAGCAGTTCGGCCCTTCTTTCCAGCAATTCGAGCAATATCAGTTCAGCCATCCTCCTCTTCAGGGCCAGATTAACGGGATACCTTCGGCGCATTATCCGAGACAGTCTGTCGAAGCAGTAACGAGCGGTCCATCGATACCCACTGCTCTGGGAAGAGAGATCAAGCAGGACTCCATCGATTCGAATGCCTTTCCACAGTCCATCCCCAATGAGAATGGGGAGGATGGCCAGCAAGATCGTGATCCCCGTAGCAGCAGTGAAGAAAAGGACAGCAATATGACTCCAGCCCAGAGTCGCCGGAAGGCCCAGAATCGAGCTGCGTATGTTCAGCCCGCCCACGATATGATGTGTGAAAAAAAGTGAAGAGACGTTCGATATATACTCACATGATGACCAATTTATAGCCAGCGAGCCTTCCGTGAACGCAAAGAGAGACGAGTCCGCGACCTCGAGCAAGAATTGACGGAGTACAAGCAGAACTTCTCCAACCTGCTCGAAGACAACGAAGTACTCAAGCGTCAAATGGCAAAGGTAGCCACTGAAAACGAGATCCTCCGCGCAACTTCAAAAGTAGCCCACTGCCATTCTCCTGCTCATGAGCCCGAGCCCACGACTACGGGACCCATGATATATTCCCCCAAGGACTACAGCAGCACTGCCAGCACCGTCAGCGGAGGCAGCGGACCGTCCTTAGAACGTGAGAAGCACGCCAAACCAATCCATCCGATACGAGTCTGTGAAGTCACCGGTGAGAGACTGTTAGATGCGTCCGCTACCTGGGACTTGATAGTCAGCCATTTGTCAGATTCGGGCGCCAAACTGGATGTGCAGGACATATACGACCGGTTAAAAGGGCGTGCTCAGTGTGACGGCACAGGCCCAGTCATCGGAGAGTCACAGGTTATCAAAGCAATACAAGATAGTATTGCTGCTGGCAACGACGAGCTGATCTAGAGAATATTCTCTGCTTATGCTTCTGCTTCTTGGTTTTTTGTTTGATGGTGGGTTGGATTTTACGGGTGTTGCGGGACATGGGCATATCATAACAACATCGTCGTCGTTGTCTTCTTCCTCTTCTTCCTCTTCTTCTTAGATATCCCCTTTTATATCTTCTCCATTTGCTCTTCTTCCACTTCCGGCTGTTTTGACTCTTATGGTTGGCAAAATATGTTCTATCTCAGCCTCTTCACGTACTGATATCTACTTCGTTTGGCCCAAGGAGGTCCGTCTTCTGGCCTGCTCTACTTCTCTGTCCGTTTCAATTGCCCCCTTTTGGCCATGCCAGCGCCCTCCTATCCGCCGTGACATTGGGGCCTTCATCTTCTCTCCAGGGTTCTCCGCAGGACCCCTGGCTGAAGCCCAAATACCCTGTATCCTGGCGGGATGGCCGTAGTCACAGTCTGCCCCTCAGCCACAACACCGACAATGCGCAAGGGTGTCCTCGGGATGCACTTACATACAACTGGGGACTATCAACGGTCAATTTCCAGTAGTTGAAACATGGATGAGACGCGATGCTAGCTTTCCATGTGATCCGATCGGATGCACGCTATGACCTTGGAGACAAGGAACAGGTATGTAGTTACAGTTATATCACGGTCAAGAATCATAATCTTCATTTGCCCCCAGAGCCAGCACCCATGCTTGCACATTGACGCAGGGAAGATTGACCCTTTCAACCGTAAACTATCGATTTCAGAGACCGCACCCTTGCCCAGGCTCCATTTAAATCTTCTTTTACCTAACCAGAATCGTATATAATACACATCTTCACAAAAGGCCAAGAGAGGGTAAGGGAGGGAGCATATTGCAAAAAAGCAGAAACAATATCAATCCCAGTCGTCGTAATCATCCTCATCTTTCTCTGCCGGCTTCGGTGTACTAGATGCATTCTTCAACCGGCTATCATGTTCGTCCAACGCACCCAACTCAACAAGCACTTTTTCCACATCCTCGGCTCGAGTCCGCGTCCCGTTCAGTTCTCGTAGCGTGATGATCTGCTTCTTGATGTCACCGTCCTTGTAGACGAGTATGGTAGGTGTGTTTCTTTCGGGGTACCCCTCAATGCACAGGTCGGCGCGCATCTCGCAGAATTTGATATCCCCGTACTTGGCGGCTAGTTGCCTCCATATATCGGTGAGTATCCGGGATTCTATGTTGTTTCCCAGCGAAGAGGTAAGGTGCACTAGCACAAAGTATTTCGAAGATGCTTCGGTCACATCTTTGGCGTAGTCAGGTTTTTGAAGCGGGTAGACTTGGTTGTGGATGCTCGTCTGTTGTATTCGTGACAATTCCTGAAACCGCTTTTTCCTGCCGGCACATTCAGTAAGTGGGCTATTTTTCTTATCTTTATAGGTATAATTTCTTCTCGTAGTTACCGGTATTGCTCTAGGAATTCCTCATCTTCTTCATCCTCCAGGGCGTCCAGTTCGTCCAAGGTCTTATCTTCTAACCGGTTCTCGTGCTCAAGCTGACGGGCCTTCTCGATTGCTTCTTCTATAATTGGAGTAGGAGATGGAGGCTTTTCCGGTATAATTCCATGTTTCCGAAGAATATCGTTCCTGACCTGATGTTAGTATTTCTGGATGGCGGATGCGGGACAGTCCCTGATCTAGAAAAAGCATAAGACTTTACCATTCTGTGTCAGCATTTGGGTCGTCGATAGGCACATTCACGGGCATATCCATTTTGAAATTGTGCGAAATGAAAAAGACCAGGTATATATAGACACAAAAAGCTCTTCTGTGAGGTGTTCTCTTCGTCGTGCTTTTGATGCCTGAATTTGCGGCTTATCGCGAGCCACGATAAGTGACATCAGAACGCTGGTGCCTGTTACCGCATGTGGAGTGTTTGTCTTGTTTGTCTTAACTACCCCCTCATATCAAGTCCCCTTTTTCTTCCTGGCATATATCTATCAATTTGAATATAAGTAGATATAGATATAAGGATTCCTAACAGACATAGCAGAGGATTGCACAACCAATTCCATGTTTATCAGTGGGCTTAGGAGGGACATTGGCTTGTTCAACAGCCTATGGAAGCCAATTCTCCCCTCAGTGTTATTCATCTTTGCTTAAAATTGGATAGGGTTTGCCCCAGAGTAATTGGGCTCTTGCAGCCACCAAACTCCGCAGGCACATCTACAATTCACTTGTATAAGTTCAACAGAAGATCTATAAACAAGTGCTTTTTGCCTCCTTTCGCCAGATCCATATCACGTGATTAAATGAATATCACGGGGCTCCAATAAAAGGGTCGACAGTGAGGGACAGATTGCCTATATGACGTAAGCAAAGCTGCTCCTGCCAAGGATCTAAGCGGTAACTGTAAAGTTGAATTTAATGAGGTCACGCAAAAAGATGAGTCAGCAAGCTCACATCAACGCCGCCAATCGATCAGGAAAGGGAAATTGTTAGTGCTGTGGACACCTGGTCTCGAGTATATCGTCTGTCCACGAAGACGCCCGTCGACCGCTCGCTCCACTTCCTCGCACTCTTCGATCCCTATACCGTCGCCATGAGCTACATGAAGAAGGACGAGGACGCAGACCAAATGATGATGAAGTTGGACAGGACATCCGTTTTCCAGGATGGTGCGTCCGCCCTACTTTTTGTCCTGTTACCCTTTTTGGGCGGCGGATATAAATAAAAGACGCCCCCCAGTCTTCCTGTTGTATTGGCAACGATTCAGCTAATCTCTTTTCTTAAACAGCTCGATTATTCAATTCGTCCCCTATATCACCGCGAAGATGCCGGACTCTGTTAACAAAGCTTGCCGTTCTAATGTTCACCGGCGAGAGATTCCCCACGGATGAAGCTACGACACTCTTCTTTGGAATCTCGAAGCTCTTCCAGAACAAGGACCCATCTCTACGACAGATGGTGTATCTGATTTTGAAGGAGCTCTCCAATACCGCACAGGATGTCATCATGTCAACTTCTATAATTATGAAAGACACTTCTGTTGGCAGTGATGTCCTATACCGAGCGAACGCTATAAGGGCCCTGTGTCGTATAATAGATGTACGCTATCTATTCATATGCAGAAGAAAATGGCCTTTGCTTCTATTTAATGTGATATACTTACCTCTTTTCCTTTATTTTAGGCCACCACTGTACAGGGTATCGAGCGACTCATTAAGACTGCCATTGTGGATAAGACACCCTCGGTTTCCTCCGCCGCTTTAGTTTCCGCATACCATCTTCTTCCAATTGCAAAAGATATCGTCCGGAGATGGCAGAGCGAAACCCAGGAAGCTGCTTCTTCCGGGAAGCAGTCTGGAGGCCTTCTCAGCTTTACATCGTCAACACAGCGCCATACCATGTCCCAGACTAGCTATATGACACAATACCATGCCATTGGTCTCCTCTGCCAGATGAGAGCTCATGACAGAATGGCAATGGTCAAGATGGTACAGCAGTACGGTTCCGGTGTCGTTAAGAGTCCCCCCGCAATCGTTCTTCTCGTGAGACTCGCCGCGAAATTAGCCGATGAGGATCA